TAAATCTTGTGCTTACCTTCTCTTCATTACTTTCTTCTTCCATTAACAATGCAGCATACGTTTCCGTTGGTTGCTTGTCAAATTTAGCACATACCCGTTTACCATTTCATCAATCGTTACATTATAACGTATCTTGTGATGATATTTCTTTTGACCCTGTTTGGATTGTTTCAAATTCTTGAAGAATAAGAAAAAAAAATAGGTTTTTTAAGTTGGAACTTGGAACTGCCACCCTTCATCAAACATTTATATCTTGCTTTCAAGTTTGTACTCTGAATCTGTACTTGAATGTTCCATTAGCCTTCAAACTTGGATAAACTTTCCTCCTTTATTGTCCTTATTCTTTCATTCTAACCTACTTTCTCTAAACCAAGTTCCACTATTTTCTCCTCAACTCAAATTTTTTGTTACTTTATCACAGACTTGGAAACTTCTATTCTCGTTTGTTTTAAGAAAAGAGATGAATCCTTCAATAAAACAACGGTTGAGGTTGCTACTTTTATATGTAATTCTGCTTCGTCTTTGTTGCACGAGTTCTTATCCCACGCCAACAAACTGCACCGACACAAGCCGCGTTTGTACTTCTTTCTTGGCCTTTAAGCCTAAACCGGACCAAACCTTGGCTGTGATACAAAGCATGTTTGACGTGTTGCCCGGTGAGATCACTTACGAAGACAATGGCTGGGATTATTTATTCATCAGAAAAAACTGTTCTTGTGATGCTGGTATGAAGAAATTTGTGTCTAACACCACACTAACAGTGAAATCCAATGGAGGGTTTGTGCATGATTTGGTGAAGGAAGCCTATGATGGGCTTGCTCTCTTGCCCAACACCACACATGGGGCAAGAAAAGATCATGGTATCATATCACTGAACTTGTTCTGTAGCTGCTCCAGTGGACTGTGGAACTATTTGATGAGCTATGTCATAAAAAATGGGGACAGTGTTGAGTCACTAGCAAGCCGGTTTGGGGTTAGTATGGATAGCATTGAGACAGTGAATAATGGCATTGACAATCCTGGTGGCTTCTCTGTTGGTGCTCTCTATTATATACCTTTGAATTCGGGTTAGCATCAACAATCTTCTTCAACACTACAATCTTCTAGTGTTCAATGGTTGGGATTTGGTTATAGGGAGTGCTGTACTTTTTAGCATTAAAGTTGAAGATTCTTTTGATCACCTAAGCAAATGTAGTTGGCTAAATTTTTTAAGTGCATTGCAGTTCCTGGTGAGCTTTATCACTTCAAGAATGACACTCCTCCAGTTCCAGTCCCTTCCCCGTCTGTAGATGGATTTTCAGGTATGGATCAGCATATAATGGAAGAAAGGGAGAAACCATTTTAGTTTTCCCTCAGAAAAATAAAAATAAAAATCAGTCGTGTCTTTATCTTAGCACAAATAGTAAAGGTTGAAGTTTTGTTTACAAACATATCTTATGTTATCTTGTTCTTTTAGTTTATGCTTAACTGTTCTGCCAGTGTCACTAAGCTCTGAAATTCCATAGGAAACATTATTTAGTTAACAAAATTCATGTTAAAAAAAAAGTATTTTTGGCAACTTCTGCATTTATTTATTTATTCATTAATTTAAGACAGTATTGTTTGTACACCTTTTCTATTACATAAGTCCTAACTCAGTTCCCTATTAATTCATAAAACAATAACAAGTACGTCCCAATGCACGTTTCTTTCTTCTTTTTTTCTCAATTATTATGCAAACATTGAGTGTCTAATTGTCTTTTCCTACAGCCGACCAAATCAACCAGAAGGGTCGTATGTCCCATGAATGGATCGTAGGAGGTTTTGCGGTTGGTCTTGCTCTGATAATATTGAGCGTTGTTGTCTGTGTATTCCTGAGATCGCCTAATTGTTTGGTTGAAGCCAGAAATAATGCAACAAATTCTGCAGGAAAGATCTCTAACAAGTTCTATGTTTTTGGCAATCCAAATTTGTTATGTGGATGTGGCAAACCTGTGGATCAGAAGCAAACTGATGGTGAATCCAGCAGTCAACAAATTACCGTAACAACCAAAGCATCGTGTAATCATTGGATTGGACTCTCAAGCATACACTTTTTTTTCTGAAGTCTACACATGTTAATTGACCTCAGATTTGTATTCAATTCTTTGAACTTGTACCACACACGCGCACTCATCTCTATGTGACAATTTTAGATTAACATTGATTAAAATTTGACATTGCAGCCCTAATACCTCACATGTTGGACATGGATAGGCCTGTAGTTTTTTCATACGAAGAGATTTTTTACTCAACCGATAGTTTCTCTGATTCAAATCTGCTTGGGCACAGAGCACATGGTTCTGTTTACTATGGTCTCCTTCGTGACCAGGTTTGTCACCGTATACTTTTAGTTGTGTTATAGAAAAAAGCAAGTGCTTGAGAGCATAAGTAAATAATGAGACAACTATTATACTCCTACTGATTTGGCCTGAATTTAAATCTTCCAGGAAGTTGCTATTAAGAGAATTACAGCCACTAAAACTAAAGAACTTATGTCAGAGATAAAAGTTCTGTGCAAGGTTCATCATGCTAATCTGGTAATGCCTTATTGTTCGCAATAAATTACACGCTTTGTTTTCAGAATAACCTCCTTGCAGCAATTCAAGAGCTTGAGTCCAATTTCTTATTAATTTTGTCAAGGTAGAATTGGTCGGCTATGCGGCTAGTCATGATGATTTTTTCCTTATTTATGAATATGCTCAGAAGGGTTCACTCAGCTGCCATTTGCACGATACTCAAAATAAGGGTAAGATCGCGCCAGCTGCTAATTTACTGTAAAACATCTTTGTTTTTACTGCAGAAATACTTGAATAAAATTTCTAGTGGTATAATCAGTGGTACTGATCAAAACTTCTTATTCAACGATGAGAAGGCTTGAATTGGCGTTTTGTCGTCTTGCCTGAACTTAAGGAATATATGGTTCAAGACCTTTTTTTTTATTTTGTCTTGCTGTTAGGTCATTCATCTCTCTCCTGGATCACAAGGGTCCAAATTGCACTTGATGCTGCTAGGGCCATTGAATACATACACGAACATACAAAAACTCGCTACGTCCATCAAGGTATCAAGACAAGCAACATATTGCTTGATGCTTCCTTTAGAGCCAAGGTACTAACAAATTTGGACACCATTAAATTATTTGTAAAGGTTTTACAGCTGTGCTGATTGCCAGATCTCGCTATTTCAGATATCAGATTTTGGGTTAGCAAAACTAGTTGGTAAAACAAATGAGGGAGAAACCACAGCATCCAAAGGTGTAAATGCATACGGATATCTCGCTCCAGAGTATGTCTACTTGTACAGAAAAACTCCTCTTATATGGAAGGAGAAAAAAAAATGATTTTTTTCCTATTTATAATATTTTGCAGATACTTTAGCAATGGCCTTGCAACGACCAAAAGTGATGTCTATGCATTTGGCGTTGTTCTTTTTGAGGTTATATCAGGGAAGGAGGCCATCATTCAAACACAAGGTCCTGAAAAACGACCATTGGCATCTATTGTAAGTTCCCTTGAGACATTATTGTGTAAAAACTATCACTGGCATATATTGGAATATTGTTAACTAATCATAGCCGTCAAGTCACTAATATTTCTGGTAATGATGGTATATAGGATAGGTTTTGCTTGGTTTGAGGATACAAAATTTACGTACGACAAGTAAACCTTAAATCAAATGCGATGAAAACTAAATAGCTTCTTTGCTTTGACTTTTGATGTATTACATATATTCTTTTTTTATTCTAAACTAGGCAGCTGCAACATCTGTGTTTTCTGGCAACATGTTAAAAATGTCGGATTTTTAATTTAGTATGTACGTCTACATTTTCTCCTTGTTTCATTTATAATGCACGTTCTTGAGGTTTATAGTTGCGAATTGCAACTGTTTTCTTAGGCAAAACCTTAATATTTGTTAAATTACAGATGTTGGCAATTCTTAGGAACTCACCTGATTCCGATAGCATGTCAAGCACAAGAAACCTCGTTGATCCTACTATGATGGATCTGTATCCCCATGACTGTGTACATAAGGTAAGTTGACTTCTCCATTTTTCTATTATTATGTTTATGGTTTGGGATATTTGGTTTTTCACCCAAGAAGCTTGAAGATTGTCCAGCTCACAGCGTAATCAAGAAAATGTTAATTTGTTTCATAGTTTCTCTTGGACTAATGAAAATTAAAAATAAAACAAAACTACATCCACTTTGAAGTGACATCAAGGGATGACATTCTGCATAAGATTTTACTCTACTGGCTCATTGATCTTGGTGTTTTGTTGTGTTTTACATAGATGGCCATGCTGGCAAAGCAATGTGTGGAAGAGGATCCCGTATTACGCCCTGACATGAAGCAAGTTGTGATTTCCCTCTCACAAATCCTGCTGTCTTCTGCTGAGTGGGAAGCAACTCTTGCAGGGAACAGCCAGGTATTCAGCGCTCTTGTTCAGGGAAGATAGTTTACACACCATCATCATCATTTTCCCCCACTACTCCATTATCTTTTCCTCCCCCTTTTACAATATAGAGATACGATAAAATATGAGCTAAGACTTCACATGAAACCGATGGGTCAATTGTATTTTACAGGACAAAGTTTTGGTAATTAAAATATGTTGTGATTGAGTTGAGAAAAGATTTCGCTGCGCTCTGATTGCTACCGACATAATTTGTAATTTCATTAATGTACATGTGTGTACTCATTAATTACTTGCAATGTTTATACCCTTCCCAGGGCCAGATAAAGCAAGGTGTGATGCAATTCCCACATTTTATGGATGTAACATTCGTCTAAAAATGTTGCTTCGTGTTGAATCATGCTAGGACAAGCAATCTTTTCATGCTCCCAAACGACATGCTATTTTCTCGAGATAATAATAACATAATTTCCGATCGGACTTGCTTGTTCACTAAATCTAATAAGACATGTTTTTCCACTTCTTGTTTCTAACTTATAATGCTTCATATTTCAAGGTTTTGTTATTGATCCTGAAGTGGTTATTGTTTCTAATATTGGTAATAGTATACATCTGGATGTTTCTGTATGAAATTACAATACAGACAGAACTGAAGGTAGTAGTAACAGTGTTTGTAGCTAGCTGCTACAAAGGCTTACTTGACAAGGGAAGCTAGGACCCTGCGTGGTGGATGGAAAGATCTTCTGGAATGAAGGACGGCCCAATTATCAATCAAGAGAACATCCCCTTTTTGCCAAGGAATGGCCACAGATTCCTCTTCCAGTATGTGCAGACAATCATAGACTATATCAGGAGGTAGTGGTTCGCCATCCCCAAAGGTTACAGCTTTAACAGGATCATTCCGTTCATCTTCCCAACCTGTGTAAGCAGCCACCATGCTGTTAAACCATATCTTCCGCTGTCTACTCTCATCATATTTCACACCCGGAATTGGACCCATAATCGTCTTCACACCATCCTCCAGCCATTCCAACTTCATACCCAGTTTAGCAGCCCTACGATGCAAACATTCCAAATCTCATCAATTTTATTTTTCTTTTCCATATAAAGACCTAGTGAACAACTTGCACTGAAATTTTCCTACACCTCACTCCGTGATTGTTTGAAAAATATTATCATAATACATTTTTTATATTACACTAACCCCAACAGCAAACCAAACTACATTGTAAACGTCTTGAATTTAGTCAAGAATAAAACAAAAAGCAACCTTTGTTGAGCGATGGCTTTGTCTGTGGTTAAGAAGGTTGATTTCCAGCCACGGCCAATTGGGGAAGAAGGGTTATCGTCTTCTCCCAAAACCCTGATGTACAATAAGCCATGCTTCTCTAGTCTCTCCACGAACTCGGGGTACTTGTCCTTCATCCTTTCATACACGACATGGCTAAGAACAATGGGGGTTTCGCCCCCACTCCCAGGCTCCACTTCGCAGAAGAAAAACAATTTGGAAGGAAATTCAGGAACTTGAGCCATTTCGTGGTGGAAAGGGATCTTCTGGTCAGGTGGGGACTCATTGGCGGTGAAGACGCGACCGACGACGTTGGTGCGGGGAGCGGCGCCGCCCACGTAGGGAAGCTCGTCGTACCCGAACGCTTCGACGACGTCGTTGAAGTGGGAAGCGGTGGAGAGGGGAAAGCCTCTGAAAAGGACAGCCCCCGATTGGAGTAGAAGTGATTGGAGGAAGAGTTGGTTGGCTTTGACGGAATCCGTGAGAGAAATTGCACTTGCAGACGGAGAAAGCACCGCAGGAAATGGAACTCCGTTCACAAACTTCTGTCCGGGAACATAGATTTCCACAAAAGCAGTTCCCATGTTTTGTTTTTCTCAGTCACCAACCATGGAAAGGATAAGTGTGGGTTTATATTCACAAATAGCTCCATAATTAAATGTAAGTAAAACTTTACATTGCATTTGTTTTGAAAGTTATCCGATCCAAATATACTACATTAAATTTATTCTTAGTTTTAAAATATTTGATTTTTCGAATGTTTGGTCTGAAGGAAATAATTTAATTAATAATTCTTATATTTTGAAAGGTATCTACGTATGTTAAATTTAACTTATTCCTACTTTAAATTTTTTCAATGTTTTGTTTACATGAAATACTTTAAATTTATTAAAATTTATTTTTTAATATGCTAATCTAATTATTAAATTTTAAAAAATATTTAATTATCAAATAAATATTCAAAAATATTGATATTAATTATCTTTCAGCAAGATTTAGTTAATGTTATTTTTTCTGATAAGTTTGTTTTGACTTAATTACTCAAGTGCTCCCCACTTTCAGAATAGTGTGTTTACATAATCATCGTTTTTAAAAAAATATCAATTTCCTTCTCGTTAATGTGTATTACTGTATTTTTGTTAAAGTTATTCAAATAGTTAAAGTTGACTTATTGGATATGTTGTTGTGAGAATTTTGTGGTGTCATAACATTTCTTTTTTGACATGTAAACTATAAGGGCTTTTTGAATTAATAAGTGAACATTTGCGAATTGAGGATTCCAACAAAGAAGAAGAGAAGCAATTTTAAGTATTCATAGATTTTTTGCTAGGAAATTTTAATTTGCCAAAGAGATTATTGTCAGTCGGTTCAAAATCATTAAACGACTTCGTTCCAGGAAGGAGAGGTTAAGATTTACTTGAAAAATGAGATATGTCAATAACATTAGCAACTCTTAAATGACGAGTCTATCCAGCTGCTTCATTTAGTATACCTACTTGATTCACTGGTCCATTTTTTCCTTGGATTCTGCTTGTCTGATGATGTGGCTTTTGAATTTGATTCTCATCGTTTTCCTGTATCTTTTTTGTTTTCACAAGTTTGCCCTAGCTCCAACACTTCCAATGATTGTTTGGCTTGATTTGTGGACTTTTCAGGAGGAAGTGTTGGGGCTGGGGCAATTGAAGTCTGTATAAGAGGTTGAAATTTAGATCCATCATAATCCTTCGCCCTTCAAGTGATATGCTCCCATTTAAAAAGCACTCTAATATTAGTTTGTTTCTAAGACAAACTTCAAACTTCACTTGAGGTTCAAATTTCAGTTAAGGCAAGTTTCAAACTTTTCCATTAAAATGACACATGAAGAACACCACTTGGACAAAACTTTTACACATTTTTAAAATGTGTTTTGGCTCATCACTACACAATTAACATCTCATTGCAAATATGTTTGGTCATATCACTTGTTTTGTCACGTTACCATACAATTATCGTCATTTCTAAAAATTTAATGAAATAAACTTGATTGATTGATAACGCATTTAAGAACGAAATTAATTTTTTTTTTAAACAGAGACCAAGTAAACTTTAAACCAAGTAGACACATCCGTGTAGGTGAGACCAATTTATAAATTAAGTTTTTTTGTTTTTTATTGATGTGGATTATTATTTCCAGAAATTCTTTTTTATTAATTGAAAATTTCTTCTAACCGATATTGATAAAAGATAATTATAATTAATATTGGTAAAAATAATCATAAAAATTATTAAAATATAATAACTTGATATTGTTAATAAAAATAATAATCACTGTGTTAATCCGGAAAATCTAACTCATATTGACTAGAAAAAATAATTCAATACAACGGTCTTTAATATAAAAAACAATCCAAATAATGTAAATTAAAAACAAATTCTATTAATAATTATACAAAAACTAGTTGATATAAACTAAAAAGTAATTATCTCAATAAAAAGGTAATTATTCAAACATAGTTAAAGAAAATTCTAACTTTGTCTAAAAAATAATCCAATCTACATTGTCAAGAAAATAAATTTAATCAATATTAACTAAAAAAACTCTGAACATCCACTGAAAATAACATTAATTAATAGAATAAAAAAATACGTTTGACATTAAGAAAAACATATTGTTAATGTCGACAAATAAAGTTTTATATAACTAACATTAGTTAGAAACTAACTTTAGCCCAATACTAACAGTAAAATAAAAGATGTCGAAAAAAAAGAGACACGAATTTAAAATAACTCGTAGTTAAAACATTTATTAAAAAGAATTATAAGATTATAACAATCTCCCGATTTTAATAAATTAAATAACACTTCACTTAAACTTGAATTGAAAAAAAAAAGAATAAACAGGAATATGTGTAAATGATAAAATACCAAAGTAAATCGTGTTTATAAGAATTTAAATGATGCAAAAATACGTATACAAAATAAAGTAGTAAAATAAATTGGCATTATTGATTGTTATAAACATTATTTGTAATAAACGTAAAATATTATTTATATGTTTATATTTTTAAATACTTATTTATTAACAATTTTAACACTAATACGATTTTTCGGTTAAAATATATTTTTATTATAAAAATTTCCTCAACGCAATATATATATATATATATATATATATATATATATATATATTCTATTCATAAAACTTTAAAGTATTTTATTTTGAAAAAAAAAATCAATGACAGAAAATTGTAACGGAAAAATAATACTTACCAGGCAAGTAATTAAAAAAAGAAAAGAAATGTAAAGTGAAGTTGTGCTGATGTAGTCTGTAGTGAATCAAGCCTAAGCATTCATCTAAAACCCTACCATACACTGTCTTGCATTTGTGAATTCTAAAACCCTCAATTCTCTCTCATGGCGGAGACCACTCAATTGACTCGCCACATTGAGTCCTACGTCGACACTTCTTCATCTTCTCCCTCTCTTCAGGTCCATCCGCTTCTCCCTTTTTCTATTTCATTCTCTCCTATTTCGACAATCCACCTAATCGCTTTTGCATTACAGGCTGCAAGCTTGAACTCTATTGCATCTCTCGTTAAAACCGATGTCTTACCTCTAGAAGCACTGGTACCTTTTGCATGGCTTTTTCTGTTGTTAATGTCTTTTTTTCGAGCTATGAAAATAACAGTAGAATTTTTCATGGGTTCATGCTTGCTTAATTTGTTTCTGGATGCTCTGTTTTGTTCCTCTGCTCTGATTCAAATTCTAGGTTAGAGAGATGGGATTGTATCTGACCACAACGGATAACGTTATTCGCGCAAGAGGTGCGTTTTTTTTTTTATTAAAAGCTGACATCTAGGATTGGTTATATATGACCATCTCTGTGAAAATCTGAATTAGGGAAGTGAACAATTTGTGTTGAATTAGATTTCAGAAGGAAACTAGTCTAGTTCCATTATGCAACCAATGTTGCTTGGATTTAGTTCTCTCCTCCTTGATTATATGGTGCTGGAATTTTGTAGAAATTAGAGCACACACGTGTGCTCGTCTGGCACATTGATCGTGCTCTGTGCTCATGCCTTTTTATGAGTGAATCATGGGTGTAATTCTAATCCTATATCTTTATTTTGGACTATCTTATTATTGAATGTTTCTTGGACAAAATCTTCTTTAGGAATTCTCCTTCTAGCAGAAGTGATCACTCGTGTTGAATCAAAACCTCTTGACAGTGCAACTATACATAGCTTGGTTGGGTTCTTCAAGGACAGACTGGTCAGTATAAATATTTCTTTTGCTACACGACTTTTCCCAACTCTTGTTCTAGTTTGCATCTGTCAATCGCTTTTTAATCCCCTCTGTTCATTCCCGCAATTCCTTTTGCATTCATATTTTCATATCACGGGGTTTCAACTATAGTCCTAATCTTGATTGGATAGAGCTGATTTCATGTTGGAGATCATACACTTTAATTAGGTCTTCCTTGCAGATAATTTACCAAGGTTGTATTTCTTTGTTTCCCTGACTGCTTTTGAAAAAAAAATATCAATACTGCTGCATTTCATCAAGCTTGATAGTTTTGTGAATTGCCTCAAGTTTTGGCTTTTGATATTTTATGAAACTTATGTGCTTTTTGAGCCTTGTTTGATGAGCATTGCTAATTGAACATTATTTTTATTTTATTTTTTGCGTTTTTTACTTTACAGATCTTTTGTAATTATTGATTTATGATCTCTCTAACCATATATAATTTTCTAATAACATGAATAATATAATATTATTTATAATCAGGCAGATTGGAGAGCAGTCCGTGGTGCACTTGTGGGTTGCTTGGCATTGATAAGGAGAAAAAGTGTTTTGGGGACTGTAACTAGTAGTGATGCTACAGCCATTTCTCAGTCTTTTTTCCAATACATGCAAGTTCAATCTTTAGGACAGTACGACAGGAAGGTAAATTATTTTTCTGGCCAGAAATCCTATAAATTTAAAGCTCCTGCTTTACAAAGCAGAATTATAAAACATCAGCTAGGACATTAAATTTTATGTTGTGAAACAGAATTTCAGAAAAGAACTCTGTTTAATACAATAACAATTTGGAGTGATTATACATCAGCTTCAGTTTTTGTTTACTAATCAATTAGTCTGATTCTGCTAATTGTTTCTTTTATGCTAAGTATTTTTGTACTGAGTTCTTCTGCAATTCTCACATTTTTTACTGTGTATTAGCTACATTGCAAAGCATCTCACCTTTACATACCCTGTTTCAATACTGCAGCTATGTTTTGAACTGCTTGATTGCCTGCTAGAACATTACTCTGACGCGCTTACTACACTGGTAGTCCCAGCTTCCCTAAACTTCTTTATAAGAATGAGCAAAACTAAATGAAAATAACATTCTCTTTGGTGATATTTAATATTATTTTTAAGCTTCAAATGTATGTTAAGACTTAAGATATATGTTTTTGCATAATACAACCATTTTCCTTTTCTTCTCCCATCAATTCCCCATATATACCAAATATAACCAGCGAGTTTCTCAGTTATAGATTTAGCTGAAAATATTACTGTTGTGAAACAAATATAAGCTGGACAAGTCTATACTGAAGACAAGTTGATTAATGTTCTAGTGTCTCTATTTTATCACGTGA